GATTGTAGAAGTTCAGAAGTAGCCTTAGTATAGCAATTGAGAAAAATATCGCTAGAAAGAAGGCGCGCGCAAGCTTTCTATCGCATTAAAGTCAAAGTACCTGTGGTTCGTTCCGTTACGGCGGTTGTTCCGTTACGGGTGAATGGACGTTAATAGCTCTAATGCACAGCTAGCCATACCTAGTCTTCGTGGTTCGCGAGACCTGAAAGAGCCAGTGCTTAAAAGTGAAAAGAAAAACTTCCAGCTACTCGTACGTCGCTATGCTATGCGTTTTCTACCTAGTCGGTTTCTAATCCATGCACCATCCTAACTGCAGGCCACGAGAGTAGGAGACTTGGTGCAGCGCAGAGGACTGACTAACTCCGTAAGTCTTTGTGTGTCTCGGGGTATAGAAAAATTGCGAAGGAAGACACAAGTAAAGCGAAGATGGAGAACTTTGTCTAAACTAGAATACGACGAGAAAGAGTCACAAAATCTGCAGTGCACTATTTCTTCACGTTCAGGGAGTGAGCCAAGAGACATGCTGCGACTTATGCCGCCGCGTCGGTTGATGGATGAAAATTAAAATGTTGTGCACAGCAAGGACCGGTTATCACACGCACCTTCTTCCTCAAGAGAGTCCTCTGTGTCTTCTGCTAATAGGTAGAAAAGATTGCTGCTGATGATTAGGACCAGGGTGACGCAAAAAACAGATTGCAAAAAAGAAATGACTCAGCCGAGGTTTGAACTCGGGACCTTCAGTGCGCGTTAACATCTGTTGAGAGAGATGTTAGACTGACGTGATAACCAACTACACCACCGAGCCGATTTTGTTTAATGCTGGATTTCTCGATTTTATATATTATAATGTCTTTCAAAAAGTGAAGTTTCGGATTCCGCTAGCCACCTAGCGCGGTTTTCTGCAGGCCTACCACAAACAGGTTGTCCGGCATATGCGAGGGTGCGCGATTTTGTAATTTGTTGCAGGTCACAAAAGGCTAGGTGTAGTAGTCGAGGCGAGAAAACAGCAACACGCCGTACAAGTAAGTTACCTTTTTTCCCTACAGAGTTTTTATCAAATGCGCCAGAGGGCAGTATTTCGATCGTCTTGAGAAGCGACTCGTCAGGAGCGCACTAGCATTCAATTCTTGTTCTGCCGACTAATCGACGTTGGAATGTTTCGGCCATAGAATGGTAGGCTGGCGAAGTTCGCCACAGACTCATTGCGTCATTGTCCTTTACGGACTTCATGGTCCGTCTCTCATTCGTGATGGCAGTTGCCATACAATTAACTTATGGTAGTATTCTTACAAAGACATGTAGCGGTTAAATGTACTTTCCAGAAATATTGACCTATACTCAAGCCGCTGCCCATTTTAGCGGATGGCATGTCCAAATAATTCCGCCCATCTCTCCATACGCGTGTCCGCGTTCTACCACTACCACGATTGGCCGTGGCTACCTCCGCCAATACTTCCAAAAATAAACATCAATGTCGAACGTCACGTTACCCCCAGATGCCAATCTTTTTCCTATCACTATCGAAAATCGCATATCCAACTTCTACCGGACGTCCAGATGCTTCGCTTCGCCGGCAACAACGACTCCAGTTCGGCAACGAAGCGAGCCCATGTAACTAGCCCGCACAGCCACGTGTCACGGTCCACCCACTCACAACCTCTCCAGAAACCCTCCGTGCCAGGTTTAATCCAAAACTCGACATGCGATTTGCTCAAAAATGCCATTCCAACTGTGGCTAGTGAGGGGCAAATCTGCGTGACAAGACCCTGATCTGCATGGTATTTTGCCGAGTATAGTAAAGAGACCGGTGGGCTGTGAAGACGATCTTTAGGTCCGTCGCCACTTTGCTTGACTTTGCTCGTTGACAACGAATCCTGAGTGTGCTCGGCCTGCAAGTTATACATGGGTGTAAATTGGTCAAAAAGTATGGCCACCGCTGCTGCTGCTGTTGGCTTCTGGAAGGATACCTCTGCCGGACATGAAGCGCTGATACACTGCCGTCGTTGCGAAAGCCAACTCTCCACCGTTCGCGATTTTATTATTATTGCTTGTTTACAGACACTCGCTCGCTCGCGCATACATGCATTCGTTAAGAGGATGGAAGTGGTTGGTCTTTGGGGGTTTGGTGGGAAGTGCATACAGCACGGCGCTGCCAACGCCCGCTGTTACACCTGCACCGCGCCCGGCGCAAGTTGATGGTCGGTCATTACAGAACAGACAAGAACCAGATGCGTACGATATATGCAATTCGCTCAAACGTAGCCGCGCTAACAAAGGGAGCAGTATCGAAGTTTTACAGGTGCTTCTCACTGCACTACCACTTTCGCTACGCCAAATCGCTGCTACGAATATACCCGCCGTCTCGCGCATACTGTGGGAAGATTTCTTGGATGATAATAGGCCTGAATGGTTCAACAACTTGCCATACAACATCCAGAGCTATTTTATTGAAGAATTTGGACCGGCCACGGCTGCACCACCTGTTAGTAATGCCGTACCCACTGACGTCACCGCGTCAGCGACACAAGAACCGACCGAGACGAACTTGTCGCGAGCTTCCAATACGGAGTCGGCGGCTTTTGAATCGCTATCTACGAGTGCGGCAGCTTCGTCTGTACTATCAGGGTCTGAAAGTTTAAGCACGATTCCTACCTCCACGGGATCATCTAGCCGGTTATCCAGCGAATCCTCAAGCTCGGCGTCTTCAAGTTCCGCATCTTCGGCTTCGGCAGAGATTACTTCTTCGTCAGCGACCACTTTTTTGACATCCAGATCATCGAGTAGAAGCTCATCCGCGACATCCAGCGCAACAGCGGATCCCGTAGTCCCTGTGGCCAGCAACTCCGGCCTGACAAGAAGCCAAAAGATTGGAATCGGCGTCGGCGTACCACTAGCAGTAGTTGCTATCGCTGCACTCCTTCTAGGATGCTGCTTCCTCTTGCGCCGGAAAAAGCAGAGGTCTATCGAAGGCAACGAACCTCCTTCGTCACCAGGTTTTATCCCTCCCTTTGCGTTTCAGGATCGAGCTTTAAGTTCAGAGCACTTCGACCATCGCGCTCCGTTAAACCCAAACCCGCACCAAACGAGCCGATTCGTCGAGGACACAAACTGGGAAGACGATGGATATGACCCAACGCCCATGGCCACAGCCTACCAAGGGCATACTCTCCCACCAGCCGCCGCCGCACCTCATCAGGGAAATGCTCTCCCTGCAGCAGCGGCGCCCATGGCCATGCAAGACAACCATACACCAATTCTGGCCCCGGCACTCTACCACAGCCATAGCTCGAACCGCGCACGAGGTCGAAGAACAAGCTACACAAGTTTGCACTCGGTTGCCGAACTCACAGAACCTGACGATGAGATGACAGAATCTCCGATCTTAGGCCGCCACTTCTCACCACCTAAGACGGCACATCGGAGACCCAGTGTATCGGCCTTGGACATGCTACCAGTCCCCGCCGTAGGGAGCGTCAAGCGCAAACCCGTGCCCCCAAGCCCAACAACCAGCCCAGCAGCCGAAGCATCACGCGACCTCCTCCGTCCTGTATTCGCACACAACACCGCCGACCACAGCGGAAGCAGCTCATCCGGTCTGGCCATATCCAGTATGTCCACAAACTCTTCTGGCAACGCATACTACAATTCAGACGACTCAGCCCCCATCTCTCCCATCACCCACCAATCCCCCCCACCCACGAACCCTTTCGCGGGTGGGTACGCATATCTCGAGGACTACGGGCCGGAGTACTACGCAGGTAACGGGTACCGTGACCAAGAGCAAGACGACGAGATATATGGAGGCCACCGGAGCTTGGATCGTTATCCCGATCCGTCGCCACCGCCTCGCCGACGCAGCTTGAAGACCGACTGGCCGCTGATGAATGTTATGGGTGGTGGGCAGAAAAGGACGAGGAGTCCCATGTGGGACCGGGTCTATGAACGGGTATGATGGTAGGGATTGGATATGTTATGGACACGATTTTCTTTTGTTATATTTGTCAGCATTTGCATGCTACACTTTAGCACTGGCGTTTCTTGGGCGACGAGTGTTGATGATCCGGATCCACTCCTTTGGGACTTGTTTTGCGAAATGATACACAGCGCGATGATGACGCAAAGTTTGGATATTTATATACCCTTCGGTACATGTATGAGGGCTTAGCTGTTAGCCTTGGTCGACCATAGTCAGACCATGATATAATTCATAACAATGATCCATTTTCTGTCTTTGCGATTGGGTGATGCAGATTGATTCGTCAAGGATGGCATTCTCATGACTAAAACCATAACAGAGTTCACATCGAACCCAGTGTCGTGTCCTCGTCTTCAAGACATACTATAACTCCTCTCCTTCCCCTCCTCATTCTCCTCCATGAGCGTAGGCTCAAACTTCCCTTTCCTCGCCTGACTCGCACCCGACGCCTTCCACGCCGAAAGTATCAAATCCACAATCGCATCAACCCCTTGATCCCGCTTGACCACCGCAAATATCGTCGGACCACCCTCCCTCATCCTCCGACTATCTCTCTCCATGACATTCAAATCTGCACCCACCGCCTCCGCCAAGTCAATCTTGTTCACGACCAACAGGTCCGACTGTGTGATACCAGGCCCGCCCTTCCGAGGGATCTTGTCACCACCTGATACGTCGATAACGTAGATGATGAAGTCGGCGAGTTCGCGCGAGTAGTTTGCGGCCAGATTGTCGCCACCGGATTCGATGAGCAGGAGGTCTGTGTTGAATTTGTGGTGGAGGTTGGTGAGCGTCATTAGGTTGACGGATATGTCTTCGCGGACGGCGGCGTGCGGACAGCCTCCGGTTTCGACGGCGACGATGCGGTCACTATGGCTGGTGTTAGGCGGTGGAATCTTGATAGGCGGAGGTAGTCTTACGCTGGTAAGGCATTGTTCTTGGTTAGAAACTCGCAATCCTCGCGTGTGAAGATGTCGTTTGTGACTGCGGCTATGGAGAAGCGGGTTCGGAGCTGTTTGCAGAGAGCTAGCATGAGCGCTGTTTTACCAGAGCCTACGGGCCTGGGGTCGTCAGTCTTGATCACTCATGCTTGCCATATCGGTCCTCAATGACTTGAGCGTGGTCGGTCGTTCGAGAGACATGCTCTGAATACATGAAAATCGACATACCCTCCAATCCCAATCGTGAAGGACCGATCCTCCCAGTCTCTTCCCTCGATTATTGGCATCTCGCGGCCCATGTAGCTCCCCGGCCCGTCGAGGATCTCATGCGTGTGGCCATGGTCCGCGGCTGTATGAGAGTGCGACGCGCCATCATGTGAGTGGCTGTGGGACATTATGTGAGATGGAGTAGACGTCAGTTCAACGCTCCGATATCAAGTCGATGTTAATAACACAGTCCGATATTGGAGGGAACGCCAGCAAGCACTGGTGAAGCTCGATGTTCTCCATGGTGGGGCAGAGCGTGGGGTTTCGCCGTGGAAGCGGAGCCTTCAATCAACAACACGCTTCATAGGCTGACAACAAACGAAATGACTTTCGCATGAATGGCTTCGTGTGACCGCTTCAACGACCCTCTCAATGCGATGTTGTTTATCATTTCCGTAGCGTGCCACGACTCGATGAGGGCTTCCGCAATCGGCCAAATACGGGGAAGCTCAGACCAGGACGCGAAGGGATCATTGCTGCATCACAGCTCTTTGCGTCCTCCCCTTCCCCTGCATCTCATCGCGATGCACGGCACTTGCTCATATGATGCACAAATATAGAGTCAGCAACCAGCATCTTCCCAACATGGACCTGTCGTTCCTCATCTGCGAACCGTATGAG